ACCTGAAAATTTCTCCGAAAATATGGTAGTAGAGTCAAAGTTTTATATGATAAGTCTTTGAAAATCTGGTCATTTTCCAAAAAGCTATATATATTCTGAAAGAGGAAGCTTCGCCGCATCTTCCTGTGATAAAAACTCAACTTCGATATTCCCTTGAAAAACTCGATTTTCTAAGGGGGGGGGGGCCCTTAACACCTTGTCGTCGAAGCTGTTTTAATGTAACTTTTTCACGTGGAATATTTAAATTCTTGTTGTAGGTAGTGGAGCTTGAATCAATTTTACCTCTTCGTTCACGAAACCAGACTAATAGTTTTAAATCAAGATCAATTTATTTCAACTTTTTCCCAGCACCACCTAATCTGCGTCGTTTACGACCTATAGATAACAATAAGAATATTTTACAGCAAATGAAACCCAATATTCTTTATTAAAGTCGATTACAATGGCTAACCTTTTTTACTTTTTACAATATTGAGTAATTCATTTTCACACTTCAACCATTTTCGTAATTGAGCTGTTGTACAGCCATGTTCAATAGCAGTTCGATGTGTATTTCCATTAGATTTGAAAGTATTAATAGCATTAAGCTTTTCAACTATCGACCACTGACGACGTTTACGTTTCGAAGTTTTTTTCGTATCATTATTAAATCCATTGACGTCAGTTGTAACTGGTAATGAATATGATGTTGAATTAGTGGTACATTCATTGGATAAGTGATTTTCATTTACATCATCATCTGATACATTAGAACCAGAATCTAAACATGTACCATCAGATACAGAACTTTGAATACGATCATTAGTGTTACAGCATTGAACAACATGATTATCAAGTAATATAATATCATTAGTATTATCATCAATTTCCGATTCATCATCGGAGCTAAATGTTAAATATTTTGTTATATCAATAATTTTGTTCTCTTCTTCATCCACATTTGACACGACTTCGATGGAATCATCATCTTCTGATTCACTTGACGAATTATCGAAATCATTATTATCAATTAAAGGTAATAGATGTACTTCACCGTCGTTCATCGACATATTATTTGCTATTTTTGTGTACTCAAAAAGTGAGTACACTCTAGAATCGGTCAGTGTGTCCGGCCGGCCGCCCGTCCGGCCGTTAACACGATAACTTTCGAAAGGAGAGTCCGATCGCGATGAAATTTTCTACACAGTTCAGTCTTAACAATATCTCGGTCGAGTTCGAAGATGAGAAGGATTGGCCGAGCCCTTCCTGAGTTATTGCAAAAAGACTCATTTTTCCCTGCACCTTCCCTATGGAAAGATCGACCCATCTCCACTTTCGTAAAAGACTTTTTCTATCATAGTCAACTAAAACCCCAACTATTATATACCATTCGATAGAGAATTTCACGAGCTACAAAATGGTATATAAAACATAAGGAAACAAGAAAGCCAACTCAGCTATTGCAAAGATAATTAATTGGAATTCGGTTCTGTTTTTGTCACGCTCTAATTGATCCACAAATAGAGCTCTATCTTTCGATCACAGAGATGATAGTTCGAGGTTTTCTGGGGTGGAGAACTCGAATCTGTGCTCTATTCGCCTCGAAATATTATTGGTTGAACAGTAACCAATAGAAATCAAGTTATAGGAAAAACGACTTTCTTAGGGTAAACCAAGGTGAAGAGTTCAAATCTGAGCTGTATTCATCCCCAAATCCTATTGGTTGAGCAGTAGCCAATAGAAATCAAGTGTTTATAGATAAGGTTTGCCAGAATAATTTTTATATCCCCATATTCTAGAACGACTCATCTGTCTCATTCACTTTTTGAAGTACACATAACTCTCGGATTTAAATCCGAAGTTTCCGCATTTATTTATGATTAAAAACACACAATTTATACTTTCCTTCTTCTTTCAGTCAAAAAGAACAAGGAAAGTAATTTATTTCTCTTTTTGTTCTTTCAGACAGAAAGAACAATAATGTTTATTAATCTTTCTATTCTTTCATGAATGAAAGTGATGCGTATTGTGCTGTTTCTTCGTCTGACATTTTACCTTGCCTAGAATATCTTCCTCAGAGGACGAAAGTAGAAAATTCTGATATACGAAATTTTGTTAAATATACTCGGATAACAGAAGAAAATTTATTCTTAAAAAAGAAGACCCGGGTCTTGTAATACGGCTGTCAAACTTTTTGCTAAAGGGGGTCTTCTAATATGGGGAGAGGTTTATAGCCATTTTTAAGGATAAAAGGATGCGTTTCAATGCGTTTTAAAAGATGCGTTTAAGTTCTAGCGAAAACATACGACCTAAAAAAATAACGCGTGGAAACGCAATTTTTTCAAATTTTTTTTTCGTGGGCCATCTAATATCATAATAATAAAATTTCCATTAGACTTGTTTAGCTATGATATGTAACAATAACATT